AAGAGGAAGTATGCAAATGCGCAGCGCTATTTGCATCCTTCTCCCAAAATAAAAATTGTGTGTAGACATGCACTTAGTCATGAGACATGACTAGAACTAACTGTTCTCCTGAGTCTTTTGAGAGACTCTTTCAGCTGTGAAAATGTGACCTCATTCAGTAATAAGACCTAGTCAGATATAGGAATAATGTACTTACAAATATTTTTATTAAGGAACAACTTTAAAATAAAATTTTCTCCCTACCGCTTTAAACATCTAAATCTCTTTAACCCTCTTAAAACTTAGGGTTTCCTCCTTAGCATCCCTCCCCACATTTTGTGCTCCAAAGCTGCAATCCTGCAGCCCATTAGCTGTTCTAGTGCAGTATTTCTCAACCTTTTTTTATAAAGTACCCCTTTTTCAACAACAAAAAAGTACCAAAACCTAGTTTTCAGAGACACAGCATTTTTTTTCTACCATTGCTACACATTTGTTTAACCAACTTAATCATCGCTAGGCACGTGATGAAATTTTTGGGTGTAAAAAGTACAAAACTAATAAAGCACTGTAAAACTAAAAAGAAAATTCAGTTTTCTCCAAATTTCAGTTGTGCTGATGAACCCCCGAGACTATTCTCGAGTACCCCGAGGGTACTCATACCATTGGTTGAGAGAAACTGATCTGGTGCACATGCGGGCCTGCTTTCTAAAGTGTTAGAATGTTAAGATTTCTGGGTATGAACACGCACAGGTGCACTATAATCACCCCATGTAACAGCTACTAAATGGCAGTTGTATTCTAAGGAATATTTTCCCTGAGTAGATTATATGGGAGAAATACCTTCTGAAGAAGTTTTAAGTGAACCCATACTTGGGATTTTGGCAAATATCTAGCTAGGTTAAATAGATGTGGATCTAATTTTGTCTTAGTGCAGTCAATCTCATGGCATCTCAGTGAAAGACAACAAAATAGAAGTAATATTCTAACAAACCAGATGAAAAATATGCTTTTTCAGTAACTTGTGACATGCTAAGCTTCTAGATCTTTGTCTAGACCAGTTAACCTTCAACCAGATAATTGCATGTGACCAGTATAGTTTTTGCTTTCTAGTAGAAATGGAGAGCTGAGGAATATTGTTTTTTTTTTTTCCCTATTGGGAAAGGAGCAACCCTCCTGCTTCTGAGCCAATGCACCTGCTGCCAGCTAGAGATTAATTTCTTGGTAAGCCTGTGTTCAATGAATGTTGTCCTGGTCATGGATTTTGCTAGATAAACCCACTCTTTGGATCTAGATACAAGATCCTGAATGATTTGTTTTTCCTTCACTGGATGCATTGCTTCTGTGTTTCTAGTGTGGATGATGTTGTATTTTTAAAAAACCTCCTCTCTTCTGGGAGAATAATCCTGTTTATCATCAAGCATCAGCGGGTAGCTGTTTTAGTATGTACAGGATAAACTTAAAAAACAACAAATGGTCTGGTAGTACTTTATAGACTAACAAAACATGTATCATGAGCTTTCATGGGCACAGCCCACTTCTTCAGATGACCGGAGTTATGAATTTAGGATGTTCAGACCCAAAATAAATGAGAGAGAAGGGGGGGGGGGGGAGAAGGAGGAACAGAGGGAATGAAAATATCAAAGGGAAAAACAAGCAGGCAGAACTGGTGCCTATAAGCACCTGAAGATTGGATACTTAATACAAAGCAGATAAGACTCAAAGACAAAAATTGTTTCAAATGGGGAAAAGCTCTAAGCTTTGTAAATGTAGCCATTCATGGCTTTTTTTAGACCTCAGCTATTTTCTTGTACCATGAGACTTCAATTTCAATTTCCCAATTTCAGTTAAAACATCCTAACAGGGATGAACAGTTCTGCTTTATTATTCAATCTTGAGTTTAGAAGTGAAGTAATTAAAATGAAATTTTAGGAAATGTCATTTGTTAACAAAATGTAGGTTCCCATCATTTCAGGTTATCATCTTCAGCACTCTTATGACAATGGTGTTGGAAATGGTTACCTTCTTTTCAGTGGTTCAGCATACACTGTGACCACTAAACTTCCCACATTTAAACACTACTTTTGACTGCAATATTTGTACATAGTCTGTGTTTTGATAATCTCTAAATCTGTTATTGATAGCTGAAGTGTATTGGAGTTGAGGATTAGTGGAGTTCAGATCTGGAAAATATGCTAATTCATTCATTTCCACTTACCTCTGCCAAACTTTGCTTACCCTTAGCACGCAGAGGACACCAGAAGACGTTGGCTAAATGAAATTTGAACTGCTGTTGCACAGTACTAGTAACATATCTTGTTTATGGCTATAACAAAGCATTTACTGATCTTGGTAAATATTCAGGAATAGACATATTTGTCCTATTAAGCCATTTGAATACTCTGGAAATCAGTGTAGAGGTTTAAATACCAGATTCTTGTACAGTAGAGCATACAAGTCAAACCCTGCATTGTTGTTCAGGCGAATGTGCTGTGTGTTAGTCCCTCTGTCGGGGAATATATCCAGGTACTTCTCATTATAAAAATGTGTCTGTTCAGTGCATTCTCTTTCTTATGACAGAGGTATCTTGTGTCTGAGGGATGCAACGAAATAGTCCATGAACTTTCAATTTACAGAAATTGTCACAGCCTCTCCTACTGCTGGTGCAGAACTATTAAGTGATGTCTTTTGTTCTTTTTAAAGACTGATTAAGACTTATGAAGAATGATGCATTAAAACATGTTTGCTCAAAAAGATGTAATCTGAATAATCATTCAAATTTCCTTGCCTTTAAATAAAGACTGATTTCTGGGATCATGACACCATACTCTTGAAATGCAATGAACATTAATGATCAAGTGCTGCTCCTTGTCTGTGGGAGGGTTGTTAAATTGGGAGATTACTCCTGTTGTGAACTTTGTAGAAATCCTTGGGGAAACTACATCAGTTCTCGTATATAGCGGTGTCAAGGTCCAGCAATGCATGGTGTACTCCTGACTGAAGCACCTGGATTTGAATGCATTTGCCAAAGTGGCAGCTGCTCGCTTATATTCAGAGAGATAAAGGTACAGTATAGTAGGTACACTGTTGCTAATCAAACTGGGGAAAGACCGGCGGCATATATTGACCATGGCTGAGGAATGAGGTTTAACTCCCTAAGCACTGCCTTACGTGCTCATCTCTCTACCTGTGTTTGTTCTTTTGGGACTGAGTTTGACAGTGGCTTCATAACTCTGCTTCAGAATTCAGTAAGTAATGTTGGTTCATGAATGTTTAAAGAAGGCTTTTCTGCAGAAGAGGCAGCAGATGCTCCTAAAATGCCAGACTGATTTGAATCTTGGTTATTTAAAATTCTTCAGACACACATTGGCGAAAGGAGAGAGAGAGAGATGCAATCTGCAAATCATCATAAATTCTTAGTGTTACCACAGCTATTAAACTGTGAATGATAGTGTTAAGGCAAAGGAAGCCAAGTGTAAAGATTACCTAGCATCTAACCAGTAGTAGCAGACATTCTGAAACTTAAGAGTGCAAATTTGGCCCAGTTTTCATACTTTTTTAATCATTATTTTTCCATGTTGGAGGAACTATTTGTGTGTGAATGCACACTCCCTTACTCTAGGATAGTCTGCTACAGTGAAGGATGCTGGCCTAGTGTGTGAAGCCATTTGATCAGAGTTTGAATCTTGATCATAAACTCATTCAGAAGTTGTAACTTCACAGAACTGGCAGATGATTGGCAAGCAGAGGGAACAAGCCATGTAACTGGGAATATGATGTGTTGAAGGTACTGGAGGAAACATTACACAAGAGAAGTAGTGTGAAAACTTCGTCAGTTTTTTAAGGTGATCAGAATCTGGGAACATCAGCTTTGATAAAACACTGCTTAATGTGCACACCTCAGCAGTCAAGCTAGATGTAATAAATAAATTGTCAGGTCTGTGACAGTTCCCATCCCACCACTCTAAGCACTGATTTTGCTTTTGAGAATATATCTAACATCAGATGGAAGTTGGGATGACATGAATGCGTCTATGGCTACATATATTCTGAAATAGTCCTAGTCTATCCATCCAAATTAGCTAAGTATAGCTTCAAGTATATATGGAAGCAAAACAAATAGTGCAGGACGTGTTGGAGAGAAACATAAGAATATCCATATTGGCTCAGACCTGCAGTCACCTATTGCAGTATTCTGTTTCCAACATCAGCCATGTGAAATTGATTTAGGAATCAAGAGGCACTGGCATTTCCATTTCCTAAACTTAGACTGTGTCCTTTCATACAGAAGACTTCCACCCACATGCTAACTCAAACTAGTCTCACGTGTGCAAGCATTGCACTGTTTAAGGTAGGTAAAACTTTGGAATGTCGCTGGGCAACAGGAATAAGAGTGATTGTCTGAGACGATCACTGCTCCTAGAGAAGAATCTATTTTGTTAACCCAATGGAATGTGCCAGGCAAGGGACTGCTTACCCAAGAAACTGAAATAGCATCTACTATTAACTATGAATTACGCATTTTAAAGTTAACCAGGGTGGTGGTGCATATTAACTGGGCTTAGTAAATGGCTACCTCTGAACATACTAGACCTGAATCTGAAACACAATATAATAGCCATTTTCTAGCTCTTAGTAAATACACTGTTGTAGAAATTAGGGGGTTTAGATGTTTTAAACCAGTACCACATCAGTTTACCCCACTAGTGGCCATAAGAAATATTTATTGATACCTTTGTATAAAAACCTGTCATACTATTGCTAGCGATTAATCTGGAGCTATTATTGATAGGTTTATCAGAATTAGGCCATAATTTGTAGAGACCTACATTAATATAGTTAAGCTTTTAAAACAAAGCAAGAAGATGGTCTTGTATCATGGCCATTTGAACATCTTTTCTGACCTATCTATCTATATATATTAATTAGGCTCATCCATCTCTAAATCATAGGATTGAGTAGTTTTGCAAATGTGGAGGATTTTGTATGTAACCTTTCTGGGGAAGGG